AGAGAGATAAAAGACAGTTACAATGCTTTCATTGACTTCATTTTCACATTCTTCCCCTATAACACCCCATATACTTTAGTAAATAAATTAAAAATTAGAGTCATTCATTTCATAGTTTTAGGGATTAAATTGAGTAGATTTAAAGTTTGGGGGTTTTAAGTAGAATTTAGTAGAAGTTGAACAGCCTTAACTCCATTATTCTAATTTTTTTTTGCCAAATGGCATTATACCAACCGAGAACCATTCGGCTGGACTTAAAAAAGAGCTCTCCAGAACCCTCCATTTCCCCTGCATTCTTTTTCCAGTCGGTTTTCCCCTACGTTTTCCTTCCTTCTGTTTTTAATCAAGATTGAGGTGTAAGGATGCACTTTTCACCTGAAATTCCTTTTAATTTCTATTATTTTTTTCATTTTGGTACTTTGATTTTCGAATAAGTATGAGTTTTAATTATGGATTTAGATTAGAGTTTTGGGTAAATTATAGATTTTTCTATTATAAACTAAAATTAGTTTAAATTAATGAAATTTGACTCTAAATCTTTTGTTTAAGAGATTTTTGGGTATTAGACTTTTGTCTAAGAATTATTTGAAATTTTGGGTATATGTACGATATAGAATTGGAAGTGAGTTTCATTTTGATGCTGGAATTTTATGTGAATTTTATTGGTTAATATCTTGCTATTGTTGTTTTGGTATCTCCATGTATATTTGTGTGAAAACTTTTAAAAAATTGCATGATAAAGTAAAATTTATGAATACTTAATTGGAGATTGGATGCTGCTCGTGTCTTGCTGCCATTGATTTAAATTTTGGTTGATTAATCATGCATTAATTGCATTGTTAAAATAAGAAATCAATGTCCAATTTTGTTGTGGATGAAGTCAACGACTGAGCATTAGCAAAATTATTGCTAATTGCTTTAAAAATGCATAAATTGAATTAATAAATGAATGGAATTATTCCTATAATTATTTTGAATGTGTTTTGAATTTTGTTTGACATGTGTATGCATTTGTGGTTATAGAGTAAGTGGACCTAAGTTTAAAGCTTGAGGTATTAAGTGGACCCTTCAAGGTATTTAGTGGACCTCTGTGCGATAGGGTGAGTGCCGTGATTAGCTCTAGTACTAGTGTTGCTAGCACTCATCAGTGGACTCCAGAGCATTGTGTGATTTCGATTTTATGCAACATGCATGTGAGCATAAGATTTTATAATATGAATTTGATTTAAATACCATTGGTTATTCCTTGACATGTTTAGTTATGATTTAGGATATTAAATTATTATTTAAATATTGAAATTTATAATATTATGTGGCTTTATTCTATTTTCCCTTATGCCCTTCATGTGTATAGGTCTAGGGAGTCTTAGGACCCAAGTTTGTAGCTTAAACTTAATATTTACCGGGCTTTTAGCTCATGCTATTCCTCCATTTTAGATTTGTAGATTAAAGTAGCAGTTACCAGTTTGGGAGCTTTAGTAGAGATCCCATGTGCTCGTTGTATGTAGAATGTAGGACCTTGTACTTTTGATATGGAGGCGGATCAATGTGTTATCAAAGTGATGATTCGGCTTTTGTTATTTTGAAAAGCTTTTGAGAAGAATTTGCTCTCCTATAATTTTGTGTAAGTTACTTTATGTATATAATATTTAAATTAATTAAAATGAGCTTAGCCTAACTTATTTTATAATTTTGAGTATTTTGACATTTTCTTAAAATATATATATATATATTGTTAAAATAGTTTTCCTTTTATATGTAATTGATTTTCTTTTTATAAAATTTTCAAATTGATTTGAACGCAAGTCTTTCTTTTAAGGAAATATTTTTCTTCTTAAAAAAAACATTTTATATTAGAAATGTTTTTATTTCTGTTGCAATCCTTTATTGTAGTTCTTATTTCACGACTCCTCTAGGATTAAAGGTACCCAGGCGAGATGTGTTATATCCTCTCACCTTCTATATAGTGGTATGCTTAATTCTCTCGTTCTCTCGTTTCCTTTGATCTTTTGTCTCAAATTTACTATTAACAATATTATAGTTATAATATCATATAAGATTATAAATTTATAATCATAATATGATATTTAATGCACATAACACTACATTAAATAAGTTAAGATATATAATATTACAGATAGATTTTTAAATTAAAAGAACAAATTATATAATAACACATATCATGTTGCAAAATTATAATTATAGCAATTTCGTTTATTATCTTAAAAACATTTAATTTTATTTGATCTTTTTTTTATTTATTTCTTTTGATTTTTGAGAATATATTTTGAGTTCCCTTTTTGAAAAATCAAATTGCACTATTTAGACGCAAAAAGAGACCACTGATTGAAAAATCTCCAACATTCACAGTCTGTATCCAATCCAGATTAATTTTGTTCAGTTTGACACAAAATAAAACATTTCTATTATAATTTACTGTGAGGTTAGGTAGAACTATATTTCTGTAGATGGTTTAGAATTTTTTTTTATTCAAATCCAAATTCCTATTGGAAAAGCCTTTTTAGAAGTCTCTATGTAAAAAAATGTTCCATTGAAGCACTATTTGGGTAAACTTTTTGTAGGAATGTTGAATGGAGTGTTTGGTGCGGTTTGGATTTTGCTCCCTTAGGACATTTAGTTCTATTTTTCTAAAAACCCGATTTCTCAGCTCAATTCACACGCAACTCTGAGAAAGGATTAGTCAAAAAAAAGAAAAGAAAAAATGTGGACAGACAAGCTAACTCCTGTCCTCTAAGTATCTCATATTAAAAAATAATAAGTATAATAATAAAGTAACTAATAATTATTAGAGATAGAAAAAGGCAATGCAGCAGCGGATTTCTTGGCCTCATTGGGCCACTGTTCAACGCAGGGAACAACTATTTTGCAGTCGCTCCATGGATTGCATACCATCGTATGAGGTGATGCTTTGGGAATTCTACTTCCCTGAACTTAGTTTTTCTTAATCTGCTCAGTTGTACACTAGCTTGTACCAAAAAAATTAAAAACAGAAAAAAAAAAAATTCATACTGTGTTATGGGAACAATTAGAGTGCTTTTTCATCAATCCCCGAATATGTGTGTTTTCAGGAAGAATCGAACGATCTAAAGCACTTCCAGTTGCTCTGAAGCCTATAAACAGAACCTTAAACGAAGGCAATGTCTGGAAAGTTGGAGCATGAGCATGAGGTTTCCAGGGATTGCAAAAGAATGATTGGATTGCCAACGGGAGTGATAAATCCTTCAGGGAAAAAAAGGACGTTCGTGTTGCTTTAGAAAATGCAAATGCATCAGAATCTGAGGAGAAGAAGGAGGAGAATTCTACCAAGTCTCAAAACGCTCTTCGGAAGAAACTTAAAGCACTTTACACATTTACTCATCTTTAGGCTGTCGTTGGAGCTGTGAGTTTTATCCTCAAATTCAAATTTTTTGGGACATATGAATGTCCTTTGCAAATGAGAGGTCATTTTGTAATGGGAATTTTCCAATTCTGTCTTCAAGTTGCAATAGCAATGTCAGTTTTTGTTAATTTGAGTGAAATGAGTTTCATTCTCCTTAATTAAATAAGGTCTCGAGTTAAAATATTGTAAATAAAAAAATATGCATTAAAAGAGCTTCTCTCTATGAGTTCCGTTGTTTAATTTCAGATTAATCAAGACTCAATATAACTTTTGAATACCAAGAGTTAGTATCAGAAAACAGCAGCATCGGCTTCTCTACTTCCGGTGCAAACAAATTAAAGAGATCTCAACTGCACTTTTTATGGGGTTATTGAAAGTATTGTTTGAAACTCACATTTCATTAAGTTAAGGGCATTTTAGGTAACCAATTCTATAATTTTTTTGCCCCTAGGCGGGAGTGGGCAGTCATTTTTATGAACATTTAAATTGCAGGTGTGAACCAGTTATATGACATTGTAATAGACAAGGCATTTGTTCTTTGTGGAGCGAATCAAAATTTTTGTTGAAGCAGATTTCGTTGTAAGTTGTGGTAACAAGAGTCTCACATGGAGAAAGAAAAAACAGAGAGTGATGAGTGGGTTGCATATGTCAAGACCCATAAAACTAATAGATTAGTCTTTTTATTTTAAGATGATGTTAAAAACTATGAGAGACCACCAATAGGGTGATATTTTCCTCTTCAAATTTGTACTTCCTATTTGTAGGTAAACAAACCATATCTCCCTCTAGCTTCTGGTGACCTCTCAATCAAAACTGGAACAGCTATTACTTCAGGGGCTCTTGCAGTGGTAAGCAACCCTCAGATGAATCATAAAAGTTCTACAAGCTTATTCAGCTCCTTGTTTAAATTATTGACTCCATTTTTCAGAGTTTGGTTTTGGGGCTTATGTTATCTCCAGCATTTTTTTTTTTTTTTTGGCATGTTAATTTCTGTCTTTTTCGGATGTGTGAATGCAATTGACGTACGTTAGTTCTCTATAGCAATCGATTGATCTCTCAACAATGAAACATCAATAGCTTCGTTCTACTTGTCCATCTGGAAGGCAAGTCATTAAAATTCTATTTCTATCCATTCACTCCCTTCTTAAATTTGTTTTGGTTAAACCTCCGAGCTGAGCCCTCAACTAAAAAAATATTTGATTTAGTCTCGAAAATTTAGTATTTTGGCTCAAGTTGGTTCTTCAGTTAAAAATCCATCGATTTTGTCCCGTTATTTGACTGGAAAAGGATCCTATGTAAAAATATTTTGAAACATAAAATACAACATGACAAATAAGACCTGAAACGTAATTTTCAGTCAAAAATTAAATATTTCAAACTAAATATAAATTAAAATTATATTTTTACCCTCATCTTCAACCACACATTAATCACTATTAAAAAAAGCTTTATTTTGGACAAAATATTATGCATAAGAAAATATTTTGACAAAAAAAGAAAA